CTGAATTAACACATGCTCCCCAATGTTCAGCCAAGAAGATGACATAAATTTAGTACACTTTAATTTTTCTAGAATCTTAGGCTCCCTTCTATTTATGCATTCACCTTTTTGATGTTCTTAATTTGCATATGTTTTAAGCTTCAACAACAAATTAACAAAGTATTTTCATTTTTCATTATTTTATTTCCATTTGTCCAAAATGCATAAATAGATTTTAAGTGCTATAACAACTTTTGTGTTCCTTTATCAGGTTTTAAATTGCATTATGTGATAACAACCATCTGCTCAGGATCTCACTTATCTTTTCCACTGAGGCAACTTGAAATTAAAATTGACACTAATGGCCTTTTTCAGGCACTTATCCAGAGAATAAAGTGGTATACATCTATGGTGATGGCAAATAGACTATCTTAACATTATGAAAGTTCTGTACTTAAATATAATGCTATATACTGCATTTTGTAAAAATAAGTTGACACTGCATTAAAACACACACACACACACACACACACACACACAGTTTTAATCAAAGAAGTGGTATGGATCCTTCAAGAAATCTCAACTCCAGCCAGAATATGAACTAGAAAATGTTGATATTTAGAAATTTGTTGAAAAAATCCAGACACTGTTTAGCATTATAATTGTAGAAATCCATATTATCTGATATAATTATTTACTTTATTAGTAAGGGATTTTTTTTCTTCCAATTTTATTGAAATGCAGTTACACACAACACTGCCTAAATTTAAAATATGCAAAAAAAAAATGATTCAGCTTGCAGACATCATGAAATATGATTATAATAAGTTCTGTGAATGTCCATCATCATCAAAACTAAAGACAAAGACAGAATATTTTTCCTATGATGTTATATAATACAAGATTTACTCTCTTAAAGATTTTCACATATAACATACAGCAGAGTTAATTATATTCATCATGTTGTACGTTCATCTCTAGTTTTCATTTGTCTTATAACTAGAAGCTTGTACCTGTTGTGTAGCAAACCACTCCAGAACCCTTGCCTGGAAAATCCCATAGACAAAGGAACCTGATGGGCTCCTTTGGGGTCTCAAAGAATCAGGTAGAGCTGAACGACTAACACTTTCACTTTTATTTTGTATCTTTTGGCCACTTTCATCACCATTATTACATTATTATTGACTATATTTCCCACACCATATATTTTATCCTTGTGACCAAATTATTTTGTAACTGGAATTTTGTGCCTCTTAATCTCCCTCACCTATTTCACTTACCCCTCCACACCCCTCTTCTTTAGTAACCAACTGTTCGTTCTCTGTATCTGTGAGTCTGTTTCTATTTTGTTAGTTATTCATTTGTTTTACTTTCATTCATTTGTTTTGCTTTTTTAGAGTTCAAATCTAAGTGAAATCATTTGGTATTTGTCTTTCTATGTCCAACTTATTTCATATCATATAATACCCTCTATGTCCATCCATGTTTGTTGCAAATGACAAAGTCGTGTTCCTTTTTTTATGACTGAATAATATTTGATTGTGTATATGTAGATACACACATGTATATTGTGCCTTCTTCATCTATTCCTCTATTCGTAGACACCTAGATTGTTTATGTATCTTGGCTATAGTAAAAAATGCTGAAATAAACATAGGGCTATAGATACCTTTTTGAATTAATATTTTTGCTTTCTTTGGAAAAATGCCCTAAAGTGGAATTGCTGGATCATATGGTAGCTCTATTTTTAACTTTTTGAGGAATCCCCATTCTGTTTTACATAGTGACTGCACCAGTATAGATCCCCACCAACAGGGTATGAGGTTTCCCTTCTCTCCATATTTTATTTTATTTATTTATTTTTTTTCCTCTTTCTTTTTATTTTTTTTTATTTTTATTTTTATTTTTTTAAATTTATTTATTTATTTATTTATTTATTTTTTTAATCAAATGTTTAAAAAAATGACTTCTTTCAATATCTCAAAAGGTGTGTAATAAGAATAATTCTGTATATAAGTGCTGTTATTCACAGGAATGTTTATTTATCGTATGATAGAATACTGAATTATCTAAATTTAGATTTTGAATAATTGGCTTTGAATTTCTACCCTGTGGCTACTTAGTCTAGTATAATTAGGAAATATATTTAATATATTAATATTATTTATTAAAGTATATTAATATATTAAATATATTTAATATTATGTTTTGCCCTTTATCAAATGGAGATCATTATACAATTAAATAATACAGTATTTTAAAATTCATTTAGCAGCAAATAATTTATTAAATTAAATGTTAAGCATATTTACAGGATATAAAAGTGCATAATTGCGTTGCTAAAGAAGGGCTGAGGACACACATCCCCGTGTCGATCTTGAACCTTTCTTACACTCTCCAAAATGGGCTCACAGGCACCTTTGGGAAAACTTAGAGTTGAGAAGAAATTGTTTGGTAAGAAAACTACTGAAGCTTAATATGGAAAAGGATTAAAAATATGACTCACCGTGCAATTACCATATGTTGCTAAAACAATGTTTTATGACATATTGCTGTGTATTGGCAAAGTGCATTTTCAGAACAAAAGCAAGTTTCTTTGATGGGATTCTTAAGTGGGTGCTGTGTTGTGCCACTTGAAGTCTTTTGAAGACCAAAGTTCTTTTTCCCATTTCTGACCCAGTAAGAGTTGTTCTCTGGGTTTTGGCAAGAGAAGCTGACTTGCTCTTGAGCTAATCCCCCTTCAATGGCCAGTCATTGTGAGGTGCCAACAATTCAAAACATGTTTAAAGTATAATGCCTACTCCAGAATATCCCATAGTATCAGCTATTGCCTCCTTTGAGATTTAAGCACAATTCTATTTATCTCCATATTCAATTGTGCATCCTACATCCCGCTCAAGTATGGTTTCTTGGAGATCTCCCCCATAAACCTTATATATGCCACAGTCTTAGAATCTACTTCTGGGCAACATCTTTTGCCCTGAGAGTAGTCATAGGAAGCCAACTCCAAAATCCTGTAAGTCTCTAACTGGTCCCCATTGCTGCTAGTATTTAAAATACAAATAGTCCTTGGGATGCTGCAGTGATACAGTTGATAGAACCTTTACCAGCAGTGAAATGTGATGGTATGCCAGTGGAGAACTAGTTTTTATACATTCTGTGGAACTAAGTATCTGTTAGTTGCTTTGATATTTTGGAAAGAAAAATAAAGGTTGAGTGAAATTATCAATGTAAGCCCCCTTAGCAACTTAGGGCTTCCCTGGTGGCTCAGATGGTAAAAAATCTGCCCGCAATGCAAGAAACCTGGGTTTGATCATTGGGTCAGGAAGATCCCCTGGAGCTGGATATGGCTACCCACTCTGGTATTCTTGCCTGGAGAATTTCATGGACAGAGGAGACTGGTGGGCTATAGTCTATGGGGTTGCAGAGTCAGACACATAAGGTCACCTGAGCTTCTGCCTGTCAGAAAAATAACTGAGTCAGCCAAGGAGACTCTGTGTCTGCTAACGGTAAAAACACACCATAGGGAATACAAGACCTAGTGAACATGGTCCAGAAGTCAGTTACCTATGTGACTGGGTCACATCACATAGAAGATGATGAAACAAAACTGAAGAATACAAACCAAAACAAGGAAGATTCTATCAAAGTAGACAGAGGGCAAAAACAAAGAACATCTTACACTTCTACAAATAATCCGAGAAGTGCTACTGGTACTTGCTAGGATGGCTCTTGGAATCTTATACAAAGTGATTACATGAAGTAGAAATATAAGAACTTCTAGGAAAGATAGCAGTAGCAAAGAATAACAATGTCTTAGGGAAGTTGCCATACTAGCATTGTTTTATTACATGAGATGGGAAAACCCAGTAACCTGTGTTCTATGAGAAATTACAGAACACACATCACTTCCTAAAATTGTAAAGAATGATCCAGTGACTATAGCATCATAATTGTTGAGAGGGTGAGTACTTGTGAGGCTCCTGGTCAGCTACAGCCCATGGGGTTTCAAAGAATCAGACACAACTGAGCAACTGAACACAATCTCTAAAGGTGGAGATAACCAAGGGACATGGGCCCTTTGGAGGAGGAGGAATGGTAGAATGCTGAAATAATAGAGCTGCAGAGCTGGTTTGTAGGAAGCAAAGGACAGACTTACCCTAATGGGCACCAAGGTCTGAGTGACTGCCAGGGTTTTCTGACCCGAAGAAAAGAAAAGAGGTAGTTATTTTATGTCTTAACATGTACATAAAGGCAAGATAGATGGACAGGCAAGCAGAGTTATGATTAGCTTATACAAGAGAAATTAAGTTCAGTTTGGAAATTGTCACTTTTACACTTATAAGAAAAAACTTGAAAACAAACAAACAAAAAAAAACACTAGAAGTCAAAGCCTTAGTCCCAGAATTGAGGTTACTGAACAAGCCATCACCCACAAAATTCAAGATATAAGTAAATGTAGAGAGTCACAGTTGAGTTAAACTTACCAGGAACAGAAATAGCTTGGAGCCAGTGACTGGTAAGTAAACTGATAGGACATCATCTATGAACTTCTGGAACACTTAGCCAAGTGTGGACCATTTTGAGAACTCCTGAGGGTCCAGGGTGAAGAAGGAGCTAGCACACTTTCATAGGTTTTAACCCCCATAGCATCCCCATCAGGATTTCATGATAAAGATCAGAGAAAAATCCCCTCCTCTTCCAAGCAGCAGAGAGGAAAAAGTCATCCCTGGGAATACTTGCAGCATTTTCTCTGTGGCAAAGGACTGCCTTGGAAGCAACTGCTTCCTCCTGGGGTTTTTATATGGCCTTGGTTAGTGACAACTCTGGTTCAGTGTCTTCTGTTTCACATAAAAGGGGAAAGACTATGAAGAGCTTTTGAAGGACAGAGCCTAGGGAATCAGACTCACTCAAAAAAATGAGATTTAATCATAATCTTCATAGAATGTTTCCCCTTCTGGTACCTTATGGTCACATCAAAAGAGCTCCAGTATAATAACAGTGGCTTTTTGGTTAAACAGCTGCAAATTCAAGCTCAGTTTAGGAAGGAGTTCTTAGAGAAATACAAAGACAACAGTAGAGAAAAAAATCAAAACAAAACAAAAAACAAAAAAAAAGAAAGAAACAAGACTCTGTTTTCAAAAGCTACAATACTGAACCTAGCACAGCTCCCAGCCAATTTACAAAAACCTGACATTAAAATCCTAATTACCATAAATCTGTACTTGATACATCAAGTCTAACATTTAACAACAGCAAATCACAAGCCATGCCAAACGCAAGAGAAAAGTGTCATTTCTGAAGAAACTAAAGAAGCATCATAACCAAATTAAAATAGGATACTGACTTTGAACAAGTGTATTTAACCACAATTAACAGAAGAAAAAGATCACTCTTTAAGCTTCACCTATGCTGTAGCATGTGTCAATCTATCCTTCCTTTCCAGGATTTAATAAAACTCTACGTACATAGCACATTTTCTTATCCATTCACCTACCAATGGACACATGGATTGCTTCCATCTTATGGCTATTGTGCTAAATATTGTGTCAAAATTCCTGCTTTTTATTTCTTTTGTATAAATACCTAGAAGTGGAATTGCTATAACATATGATAATTCTATGTTTAATATTTTGAGAAATCACCATACTGTTTTCCATAGTGGCTGCACCTTACATTCCCAACCATCAGGAACATACAAGGTTACAAGTTCTCTATATCTTTTCTTTGTTAGTTTTTATAAACTTGTTATTTTTTGTAATGTTTATTTTAATAAGAATGTCCTACTCTCCTTTAATATATTCTTAAAACATAGTATCAGTTCAGTTCAGTTTCTCAGTTGTGTCTGACTCTGTAATCCCATGGACTGCACCACACCAGGCTTCCCTGTCCATCACCAACTCTGGGAGCTAGCTCAAATACATGTCCAACCAGTTGGTAATGATATCCAACCATCTCATCCTCTGTCATCCCCTTCTCCCCCTTCTCCTCCTGCTGCCTTCAATTTTTCCTGGCATCAAGGTCTTTTCCAATGAGTCAGTTCTTTGCATCAGGTGGCCAAAGTATTGGAGCTTCAGCATCAGTCCTTCCAAGGAATATTTAGGGCTGATTTCCTTTGGGATTGACTGGATGGATCTCCTTGCAGTCCAAGGGACTCTCCAGAGTCCTCTTCAACACCACAGTTCAAAAGCATCAATTCTTCAGTTCTCAGCTTTCCTTATGGTCCAACTTTCACATTCATACATAACTACTGGAAAAACCATAGCTTGGATTAGGTGGACCTTTGTCAGTAAAGTAATGGAGCACATCATGGTTATCTGGGTTATTATTATTATTTTGTATAGTTCTTTTGTGTATTCTTGCCACCTCTTCTTAATATTTTCTGCTTCTGTTAGGTCATTACTATTTCTCTCCTTCATTGTGCCCATCTTTGCTTGAAATATTCTTTGGTATCTCTAATTTTCTTGAAGAGATCTCTAGTCTTTCCCATTCTATTGTTTTCTTCTATTTCTTTGCATTGATCACTGAGGAAGACTTTCTTAACTCTCCTTGCTATTTTTTGGAATTCTGCATTCAGATGGGTATATCTTTCCTTTTCTCCTTTTCCTTTCACTTCTCTTCTTTTCTCACCAATTTGTAAGGCTCCTCCACACAAGCATTTTGCCTTTTTGCATTTCTTCTTGGGATGTTTTTGATCACTGCCTCCTGTACAGTACTATGAACCTCCATCCATAGTTCTTCAGGCACTCTGTCTATCAGATCTAATCTCTTGAATCTATTTGTCACTTCCCCTGATTTAGGTCATACCTGAATGGTCTAGTGGTTTTTCCTACTTTCTTCAATTTAAGTCTGAATTTGGCAATAAGGAATTCATGATCTGAGTGACACTCAGCTCCCCATCTTGTTTTTGCTGACTATATAGAGCCTCTCTCTCTCAGGCCCAAAGATTATAATCAATCTGATTTCAGTATTGACCATCTGCTGATGTCCATGTGTAGGCTCATCTCTTGTGTTTTTGGAAGAGGGTGTTTGCTATGACCAGTGTGTTCTCTTGGCAAAACTCTGTTTGCCTTTGCCCTACTTCATTTTGTACTCCATGGCCAAACCTGACTGTTACTTCAGGTATCTCTTGACTTTCTACTTCTGCATTCCAGTCCCCTATGATGAAAAGGACATCTTTTTTTCTTTTTTTTTTTTTTCTTTTTCCCCTCTTTTCTTTTGATGTTAGTTCTAGAAGGTCTTGTAGGTCATCATAGAACCATTCAACTTCACTTCTACAGCATAGTGGTTGGGACATAGACTTGGATTACTATGATATTGAATGGCTTTCCTTGGAAACAGACAGATATCATTTGGTCATTTTTTGAGATTGCACCCAAGTAATTGCATTTCAGACTCTTTTGTTGACTATGAGTGCTATTCCATTTCTTATAAGTAATTGTTGCCCACAGCAGTAGATATAATGATCATCTGAATTAAATTCACCCATTCCAGGCCATTTTAGTTCACTGATTTCTAAAATGTCAATGTTCGCTCTTGCCATCCTATTTGACCACTTTCAATTTGCCTTGATTCATGGACCTAATATCCAAGTTCCCATGAAACAATGTCCTTTATTTTATCAGACTTTACTTCCATCACCAGACACATCAACAACTAGGTATTGTCTTCACTTTGTCTCTGTCTCATCATTCTTTCTGTAGTTACTTCTTCATTCTTCTGCAGTGGCATGTTGGGCACCTACAGACCTGGGGAGTTCATCTTTCACTGTCACATCTTTTTTCCTTTTCATACTGTTCATGGGGTTCTCAGAGCAAGAATACTGATGTGGTTTGACATTCCCTTCTCCAGGGAGCCACATTTTGTCAGGACTTTCCACCATGACACAACCATCTTGGGTGGCCTTACATGGCATGGCTCATAGCTTCATTGAATTAGGCAAGGCTGTGGTCCATGTGATCAGTTTGGTTAGTTTTCTATGATTGTGGTTTTAATTCTGTCTGCCCTCTGATGGAGAAGGATAAGAGGCTTGTCAAACTTCCTGATGGGAGAGACTGAAAATATAGTATAGAACTGCACATATTTTTATAAGCTTTTACTTCTACACCATTTATGTATTTAAATTTAACAAGTCTTATAAACAAAATACATTTGAATGTTGCTATTTATCTAATCTATCTTTTAACTGGATCAATTCTGTTTAGTAATTTAATAAGATTAAATGATTAGATGTATCTATCATCTTTCTACTAGTTTTGATTTCTCCTATCTTTTATTTGTCCCCTATTTTCCCTTTGATATCTTTTTTCAATTGAGCATATTTTATGGTTACATTTTCTTCATTTGGATAATTATCTTCAACCTCATGAATAAAGGCTTTGCTCTTTACCTCCAAGCGGTATATCCATTTCAATGCAATGTAAACACTGCTCAGGATGGTATGTCTAATTCTCCCCATTCATACTTTATATTATTCCCATCTGATTTACTTATTCACATACTGAAAACTCTATAATTCTTTGTTTTTGTTTTAGTCAATTAGATTTTTAAAATATTTAAATTATAAGGAAAATATTTATTTTCCAATTTGGATACATTTCTTCGTTCTCATTCCTTTGTGTAGCTATCTGCTTCCATCTGTTAAATTGTTAAATCTCCATTCCTTAAAAGACTGGAAACAGAACTGCCTTCCAACCCAGAAATCCCACTGCTGGGTATACACACTGAGGAAACCAGAATTGAAAGAGACACGTGTACCCCAATGTTCACCACAGCACTGTTTACAATAGCTAGGACATGGAAGCAACCTAGATGTCCATTAACAGATGAATGGATAAGAGAGCTGTGGTACATATACACAATGGAATATTACTCAGCTATTAAAAAGAACACATTTGAGTCAGTTCCAGTGTGGTGGATGAAATAGGAATCTATTATACAGAGTGAAGTAAGTCAGAAAGAAAAGCACCAATACAGTATATTAATGCATATATATGGAATTTAGAAAGATGGTAACAACAACCCTATACGTGAGACAGCAAAAGAGACACAGATATAAAGAACAGATTTTTGGACTCTGTGGAAGAAGGTGAGGGTGGGATAATTTGAGAGAAAAGCATTGAAACATGTATATTACCATATGTGAAACAGATGACCAGTCCAAGTTCAATGCATGAAACAGTGCTCAAAGCCAGTGCACTGGGATGACCCAGAGGGATGGGATGGGGAGGGAGGGGGGAAGGGGGTTTGAGGTGGCGGACACATGTACACCTGTGTCTGATTCATGTCAATGTAAGGCAAAACCCACCACAATATTGTAAAGTAATTAGCCTCCAATTATAATAAATAAATTAATTTTTTAAAAAAGTCAAATCTCCATAGCAATGAGTTTGGTGGATTTAATCAGCTATGATATGGAACCCATGTATACAGTTGGCTGAGTATATGATGTAGTTTCACATGAGGGATTTCAACACCCATATACACATTTTGGCTGACATGGCCCTTTATATGTGAAAAAAAAACTTTTATCTCTTTTATGAAATATATTGTCTCCGTGTATTGAGTTTTAGGTTTGTTGTTGTTTTTTACTCCATATTATACTTGTTAGATGCTACTCATTTTCTCATGTCTTCTTCCTCTCTATGCAATGTGTTTCTACTCCATTACTCTTTTTTTTGGAGGGGTGAGGTGGGAAATTTTTAATTTGATGACATTTTTGCCCATGATATTATTTGATTTTTCCCTGTTTTTAGAAGTTATGATAAAATATACACGACATAAAATTTACAAATATAAAAAGAATATGATATTTTCCCATGGTTAAGACTCTACATTTCCACTGCATGAGACATAGGTTTGACTCCTAGTTGGGAAAAATAAATCTTGCAGGCCATGCAGTATGCCTTACCCACCAAAAAAATAGCAAAAATAATATAAAATTTATCTTCCTAACCATTTTAATTATATAGCTTAGTGGTATTAAGTACATTCATAATGTCGTACAAGAGTCACCACCATTTATCTCTGAAACCGCCTTCATCTTGTAAAACTGAAAACCCATTAAACAGTAACTCCCCACTTCCCCTTTCCCTCAGGTCCTGGAAACCATCATTCTATTTTCTATTTCTATAATTTTGACTACTCTTAACTACTTCTCACTTTATACATATATATATATATAATATATATATGTCTATATATAATATATATAATATATAT